CTTAATTTCCTGTATTTATTATATATTATGTTAAGTTATAATTTATGTTATATCTGATTCTCTGTACCTTTTGATTTGTTTTGATTTTGTATTTTGTCGGTGCCTTATAAGCCCATATGGGCTGGGCGGCATATTGATCGCAATGGCACGATAATAAACAGTCATTCATTCATTCATTCATTCATACATCTTTGTGCAAAATTAGAAAATCAATAATTCATCTAAATCCAGGATTTCTTGGCAAAGTCCTTCCGATTAAGGATATTTGTTTTCTCCTCCAGACACATTAGATAAAGGCCAATCTACGGAGCTTTTGGGCTGATCAATTTGGATGGTAAAAGCCTTGATGGCGTTAGCATGTAAGCAAAATATTTCTTTATGGAGAGTAAAGGCTGATGTCTATTACCAATAATCTGATTTAGGCCACACCAATTTAATTTGTCGGTTCACGGAATCGCCTACTTCATTTTTTTCTGACTTGCAAATGAAAAAAAAATTCCAGCCCCTGAATCAAATCCAAAATGCTCATATTTTGGCTCCATGCAGCTGTAGGAAGTCCCTTCTATTCAGAGTTGTTACAAGTTTTACCACTATCAATGCAGTTTGAACTAAAATTTTGAAATTCATTGTTTGAACTAGAGTCCCCCGATCTCATACCTTCGCCAAATGATGTTAATCTTTATGAGAAAGTAAAGATTATTCCTCCTGATTATGCAAATAGGATCATTTGTATGAATTATATGAGTTGATCATATTATCCATAAAAGACAGCCTTATCTTAAAAAAGAAAGCCATTCTATCATTACCTCATAAATTATGCAAATGAGGTCCTTATTTGAATAAATTATGTTTAATGATGTTCACATTCACTTAACTTGCAAATACCCTAAGTATGAAATTCCAGGCAGTTACCATTATGGAATTATAACATTTTCTCATTAATTATGCAAATTAAGTGTTAATTTACATAATTAATATCTGCCTGTGTTTTTCTCGTTGTCAATTACATATGTCTCAAGCTTGAATAGTCCTATAATGTAATGCAGCTGATTTACCGAATTTCCTCATTAATTATGCAAATTACGTCCAGATTTGCATAATTGTCGCATAATTATGTCAAGCATCACTTAAGCTACTTACATAACAAAAATCATGATGATCCGTCCACCGGTTCTTGAGTTATCCTCTTATGAATATTTTCAAAGAAATGACCCTGCAGTTCCTGAGCAAGCCGATAGGGGGCCCAAACCTATGTCACTTATTCCCCAGCACAAGAACTACCTACCATCCAAATTTCGTGACCCTAGCACGTCCAGATCACGAGATATCAAAACCGGAAGTTCAGCTGCAGTACCATAAGAAGCCGCCAGGGGGCCCAAAATCTAATCATTTCGAGGTCTCATCAAGACCTACCCACCTACCAAATATGAAGTCAATCCATTTAAGCCTTCTCAAGTTATCGTGTTTACAGACAGACAGACAGACACACACACAGTCACGAACGCCTACGAAAACATAACCTTCTTGGCGAAGGTAATTACAAACCAGCCTGGTATGTTGACTTCATGGCTCCCATAATCATAGCATTTGGGGCCGTAATGGGGTGCCTAGGCCTGTTTTCATTTTTTCCCTGTTGCTTCATATTTTTTTCTGAAAAAATCTGAGAACCAACAAATAAAATTGGTGTGGCCTTAGTATATACATGTAAAAGCTGATCAGAAAATACTGGTATGGGAAACTGCCTTCTACAATTTCATGTACTGTCCTTTACTACTGACAGTTCCAGGGCAGACATATCTACCCAATATAGACATGCCCTCCTTTGTCCTGACTTTCAGGCTGGCCCATGACATCACATAGGCTATAAATAGATGGGATGCTATCAAAAGGAGACAATCGAAGATACGGAAGTCCTCATAAAGCAGATGACTGCATATCCTAACCCTATATTTCCTTTCTGATCATACTTCGCTCAGCTTTTCTATTCAACAGTTTATAACTGAATTGACTTTTAAATACAGTGCCACTAAATCAAGCCATTAAGATAGGAGCCTTAATTCAACAACAATCACTGACGGTGGTCCATTGGGGATTACTGATGATGGAGATTTCGTTAGCAAATTGGGGCATTTGCTTCCTGTGGTAACTAGGGCAAGAGTATTTGTCTCACTGAACGGTGCAGTAGCACTAGCCGTTGTTAGGGAAGCGAGTGTGGGAGCCCCGGCATACAAGTAGGATGGTACCCAGGCTACAGTAGCACAGGACTCACACCTACAATTTATGCTAAGGCCACACCAATTTAATTTGTTGGTTCTCGGATTCACCTCTTCGTTTTTTTCTGATTTGCAAAAAAAAAAAAAGATTCTGGTTCTGAATCAACTCAAAAATGCTCATATTTTGCCCCTAACAGTTGAGGAAATTCCTTTTCTTCCTAGTTGTTACAGTTTTTTCCATCTATCAATGCAGTGGTTTGATTAAAAGTTCAAAATTTATACTTTAAATTTTAACCCAGCCTTTTTTTGTTGACTTCATGGCTCATATTGTAGCATTTGGGGCTATAATAGGATGCCTAGACCTGTTTTTATTTTTATTTTTTTTCGCCCTGTCGCTTCATATTTTTACTGAAAAAATCTGAGAACCAACAAATTAAATTGGTGTGGCCTAAATCTCGACAGAATGTGTAGCTTGAAGAACTACATACACAGGTCTGTCCGTACAAGAGAGACGAAACACTCGCACACAGCTTATGTGAAGATGAGAATATCTCAAACTCCTATGTTTACACATATTTTAATGTAATAAATTGTAATTGTATCGCTATGAATATTGTAAACAAGAACTCCAGGACAATATGTATACAATTTTGTATCACTAATGGACATTCACTATGATATCACTAATAAACGTACCATCAAATTTTGGAGCCCCTACAAGTAGACATTTGTCTATAGCTTTATACGAGCTATTTTTGTTTACATCATATGCATCAAGATATTTTCAAGGCATATGCAAATTATCGGTAGGCAAATCACCCAACCATCACCAACTTTTTGCCCCCCACTCTCTGACTGTGGCGTCACGATGATTGCTTGTATTAACCAAATTCAACCAGGAAGCTTCTTTCCTAGAACTACATCACTTAATATATAATGGAACAAGCTTCCTTGTGAATGCTTCCCACATGGGTACAACCATAAAATTGTCAAGTCTAGGGTGAACAAACATCTGTCTCTACAGTTCCTTAATGTAACCCAAAACATGTACTAAGTGGTTGGTATGAGCCTTGTTTTGAGGTGGAAATTGAGCCTTAAAAACAGGTTTAAGATCTGTTTAGAGCTAAAACTTTATAATTAGATTCAACACAAAAAGTTCTCTCACCTAGAGCTTTCAACCAGTCACTCTGGTCTTCCTCATTAGACTCACCCAGTGAGGCTTTTTGTGTTGGATCTAAAGTTGTCTAAAGATCTAAAGATCCAAACATGTAACTTACCAATACAGATGAACTTTCATGATGGGAATAAGATATTTTGGCATCTATATATATCCTGGATCAGCGATCCCAAGACCAGGACAAACTGTAATTCCCAACTCAATTTATGAAGGAGTTTGAACACTGAGATTAAATCATTACTGCACCTCAGCCCTGTATTTTCCGAACAAACATCTGTCTCTACAGTTCCTTAACGTAACCCAAAACATGTATTAAGTGGTTCATATGAGCCTTGTTTTGAGGTGAAAATTGAAGTAGATAAAAAAAAAAACAGGATTGGCATCCATGTATCCTGTGCGGTGATCCCAGGACCAGGACAAACACATAATTCCCAACTCAATTTATGAAGGAGTTTGAAGACTGAGATTAAATCATTACAGCATCCCGGCCCTTATTTCCCGTGGGGTTGTCCTACCTTGGGCAGCCGAGCGTATTTTCCTGTCCTGGTGTCCCTGATGACGGTGATGTCCAGACATTCTGTCTCCTGGAGGAGAGTGGGGAGAGATTCACACATCAGTAAGAACCCGGTGAACAGGTCGCTGAATCTTGCCTCACATTTACACTGCATGAAATCCAATCTTTAAGTATGTCTCAAAGCATCCGTAAAGGTAAAACATGAGAAGAAGCGGAACCTTTTAAGGACAGTGTAAGGAATAGACTTTTTGGAGGAGAGTGCGGAGAGATTCACAGAGCAGTAAAGACCACCAGACTGGACCATTTCATTTCGTTAATATGTTGGGTCATGTGGCATAGCGGTGGTGTGTTCTGCCCAGACTCAAGAGGTCGAGGGTTTAAATCCTGCCTACTGCCACCAAACTTGTGCTCTTGGGAAAGGCACTTTACATGACTTTTGTCACTTCGCTCAGGTGTAAATGAGTGCCTAGCTTCGGTTAGGGACGTCCCTCGGATAGGAGGTTAAATGGAGGTCTTTCAGGACCTCACTGTAAAGAAGTGTATACAAGTTGAGTTGGGCCAAACAATACAGAAACACGTCTACTACTATATATAGATAAACCACCACCTTGCTGTATCTTGCCTCACATTTACAATGCAAGAAACCCTATATTCAAGTATGCCTTCAGCATCCGAAAAGGTGCACATGAGAGAAGAAACAGAACCTTTACCCATGCTTTGAGGTATGTATAATGAATAGATTTTGTGCAGTGTTATATGTTTCTACGAATGGTACCCAAGGGTTGTATACTTTGTACATGAGAAGGAATGTTTATAAAAAGGTGATCTACTGCGTATAACATTTGGGCAACAGTGTTTTTAAAAAAAATAGTACTTGTTGTACATAATTGTGTGTTCCTGGAATTTTCTACATGTTCTGGCCCAAATACAATTAATGAAAATGTAATTTTAAGGCCCAAATGGAAATACAGTAATGGATAAAGCTGTCCAAAAACAACAGAGCAAATGAATCATCAATCAAGAATCAAAGGCAGCTGTCACCAAAATAAGTCGAGGGAATTTGAAATATACAGGTCCAGTATCATACATGGTCAGGGAGATCAATTGTCAATTGGAGGCTGCTATTAGTGAAAAGTACTACAATGTGGCTACATCATTGATGGACAGGGTGCTCCCAATGGACATGAGTGCAGCCCACACATTAATTGCTTTCTATAGTAGGTCTGTACAATGCACAGTTCTATTATCATTATAGTATTAACAGGTCCCAAAATACCACCTGCATATACAGGTAAAATTGGTGCTGTGCAGGCATTTCTGATGTCTACCTGCACCTAACCTGCACTGGTCCATGCACTGGGTATATGCAGATGTGTGTGCAGGTAAAATTGGAGCTGTGCAGGTATTTCTGATGTCTACCTGCACCTAACCTATGCCACTGAGTTTATGAATTATATACACATGTAAGTGTATGTGGATTTTAATTGTTACATTGACTGTAGAAATAGTGGCAATGGTTTCTTAACAGTTTTTAGTATGATCCATACTCCCTAAATTCTGAGTGGTGCAGGTAAAATTTGTCTGGTGCAGCTAATTTTCAATGTTTGCCTGCACCAGTGCAGGTATGCTGAGAAAAGTATTTCAAGCCCTGTATTCTCTATCCTCTCAATTATTCTGTAAAATATCAAACAAAAGGCGACCAATGCAAAAAGGACTTTAAAAATATGCGCGGAGGCAGGCCTATTTCTTCCAGCTGCAAATGCTACGCTCTGGAAAGAGCTATACTTAGTCTTGAATACATAACATACTGCTCCCAAAATAGAGTCCGTCACATAATAAACATGATGAAAACCACCATAAACACACGTCAGGTTGATGGCAGTTAGCACATGTTCTCTAGCACGTCAGCAGAACGTACTACACCTGCACGAAACCTATAATGTATTGTGCACAGCACTTCAGCAGAACGTCTCATAAGGTCATATTTTAGTCATAACCGTTACACTTGTACATTGTATATAAGGCTAACATCCCTTCTGTAGTTTCCAAATGTTTTATCGGAAAAGATACCCTCTGCAACAGACAAAATTCTGATGCAACAGTGACCAAACATTCCACGAAAACTAAGAAAAATCAGGCTTTTGCGCAGGCGCAGTACGTTCTGCCGACATGCTCTCTACTTTGCTTTGAGATCTTGAGACAAAGTTAGGTCAAACCAACGCAGCTGCTTCTACATCTGTATCTGTATAGCCGGTATAACCGCCTTTCGGCGTAACACACCAGCTTCGCAGGCACACGGCGCGGCGGCAGCTGGCTATATTACACCGATCGACTTGCTACACCTAACCCTTGAACTTCTAGCTCTAGACATTGTTTAAAGCTATCTATTGACAATGCCCCTACTGTACTTGGTGACAGTGAGTTCCACTCTGCGATAGTTCTAGGAAAGAATGAATTCTTGAACACCTCAATCCTTGGTTGATAACTCTGGTACTTGAATGCGTGGCTATTTCTTGTTCTCTTCTGGGCTGGTATTAGGTACTTAGTAATTGGGACATCCACCATCTGTCCCCTTCAGACCACACCAATTTAGTTTGTTAGTTCTCAGATTTTCTTAAATAAAAGATGTGAAGTGAAAGGGAAAAAAAAAAACAGGCCAAGGCATCCTATGTGAGCCTATGACATTAAGTCAACATGCAAGGCTGGTTTTCAAACAATAAAGTTCAAATTCAAACCACTATAATATTGATAGATAGACAAGAAGACAAGAGAAGAAGACAAAGACTTTCCTTAACTGTTGACTATTTTGGAGTTAAGAACGTCTTTTGCCAATCAGAAAAAATTAAGTGGGCGATTCCAAGAATCAATCGATTAGATCGAAAAAAAAAAATTATTGGTGTGGCCTGAGTATGTTTTATAAAACTGAGTTAACATTTTAGCAACAGCACACCTACTTACCCCATTCTGATCGGTCCAGTAGAGAATTTGACCTTCTTCGTCCACTCGCAAGGTCACCGCTACTCCCACTGTGGAATCCTGGACGGGAAGAAAGGGAAGAGAAAGTTTCATAAAAATCATCAGATTCTTAGTACATATAATGTTCTTTATGATTTAGTTACTAAACAACTGACACTGGCCACCTGATAGAATGGGTAAACTACTGCTGGTCACTCCTACAATTCATCACAAACAAAAGATGCATACTTACATGTAGTAGGGCAATGATTTTTTCATCAATTACCCAGAATTACCCAATTGTACAAGAATTATTCTTAAAAGCAGGGAGCAAATTTTTCATAGTGTAGTGGTAGTATTCAGTCTTTGATTATATAAAAAATATGTTAGTTGCATGTCAATTGTCTGAGGTGAAAGACAAAACCTTTCAAGAAGCCCAAGGTCCATTCTCATGTCTAGTCTTACAGTCATACCACAAGCAGAAGATGTCCAACTTTGTCTAAGAGTCAAAGATCCTTAAACTAAAGGCTTCAATCAGGTTTGGGTGAACAGACACTCGTCACATTGTACATTATTAAGCAACAGCTTTCCACTGTCTTCTGCAAAACTGCTGAATCAGACATGGTTGTCACTTCGTTGCTACATGTTTTCTGCACCACAGCCAATTCTAGCTGAGGCATCCCAGATTTTGCCATCATTTACCCACAATTACCAAATTTGTACAAGAATTATTTTTACTTTATCATTATAGTAGTATCCAGTCTTTGAATATACATCATATATGTGAGTGACATGTAAGGTGAAAGGCAGAACCTGACAACAAGACCTGCGCTTTCTCATGTCCTTGACTTTAACTTACATGTATAAGTCTTACAGATACGACCAAAGTAGAAAATGTGCATTGTTGTCAAAGAGAGAGCTTCAATATCATCAACAGCTACTGTATAGCAACAGCTTTCTACTGTCAGATACATTATATATATATTCAAGCATTTCTGCTGAATTAGACAGGCTTGTTACCTCCATGAAAAATGGAGGTATTGTTTTTGGCGGCGTCTGTCTGTGTGTCTGTGTGTGTGTGTGTGTGTCTGTGTGTGTGTCTGTGTGTGTTTCCGCAACTTTGTAGTCAGCATAACTTCATAACGCCTTTATGGATTGTGATGATATTTGGTATGCTGATAAGTCTTAGGAAGACAAAGCTCAAGGTCAAATATGGGCCTCCTGGTGTATGACCTTGGTACTGCAGCAGAACTTCCGGTTTTTGTATCTTTGGTCCTGAACATGCTATGGTCTTGAATTTTTGGTGACAGATAGCTTTTCCTGTCAGGAATAAGTGGTGTGGGTTTGGTCCCCCTAGCAGCTTGTTCAGGAACTGCAGGGGACTTTCGGGCGAAATCTTTGAAAGCCAATAAGTCCAGATAGGAACAGCGTATTTTCATCATTTTTGGTGTGTAGGTATCTGACAGAGAGATGTACATAATTAACTGCAAATTATGCAAATGAGGACTTTATTTGCATAATTAATGAGGAAATTCTATAATTACAGTGTTTTACATTATAGAACTCTCATACATGTAATGTATGTAACCTATGGCAGATGGAACATCAACAGATACTAATTATGCAAATGATGACCTAATTTGCATAATTAATGCAAAAAATCTATGATTTCTCAATGGTGAATGATGGGAATATCATACTTGGGACATCTTTAAGTTAATCAAAAGTTAACATCACGATGCATATATCATGTTAATGCAGAGGTTATTTGCGTAATTAAAGAAGAAATTTACATTTACATATCAAGCCCATATTTCATGGAGGTATGAGATCTCGGAACTCTTGTTCTTTCTGCACCACAGCCAATGGACCTTTCCGGTTGAACACCATAAGCCCCGGCTGCCCCCTGTTCTATTTCGAACACCTCGATCAAGATCAGCGCGGGAAGGACCGCACCGGCCGCCGCCGCCAGAATGTCGGTTTTGCCGCTCAACTTTGGGTCGAGTTTTCGGCAGTGAAAAACTCTCTCAGCAGCCCCCAAAAAGGTTACGCTATCTTCGTTGAAGTACAAATCCAGAGTAAAACTTATTTCAGGAGGGGACAGGTTTAATGAGAGCAAAATGTTTTGCTCAATGCGATGTGCCGCATAACATCACACGGTAGGCTGACAGTATTTCGAGCCCTGCATTTGCCTGGTTTTCTGCACCACAGCCAATTCTAGGGGCATCCCAGGGAAACGTGAAATGTCAGTCTATACATCATGCATCTTTTATGACACATGGTGGGGTTCGGAGCTTCTGAAGTAAATGAAAATGTCACCAAGTTCTGATATGAATGCTATGCTCCGAAGCAGGTCTTTTACTCGAGTCAGTGATTTGGCATTGTGCCATTGGCAACCTCAAACTACTCCATAGGCCAAATCCTTCATAGTTACATACAATTTTGCTACAATGTAATATTTTTCACCTGTTCTTACATGGAAATGTCACACTGCAGATTAGTAACTTGAAACAGTTTTTTAAAGGCTAAAAAGGATAGAAAAAGTGGTGCAGATAAAACACCTCTGGTGCAGGTAATTTTGAACATTATCAATTACCTGCATCAGTGCAAGTATGCAGAAAAAAGAGGATTTTGAGCCCCAGTGCCTTACAATTTGTAAGTTACACACACAAGTTACACCATGTACTTCTTCCTACCACGCCACCATATTGCCCTGGTACTGGTAGACATTCATATATTCATGAGCTACCGGCGCAGTGTGTCTAACACCAACTGTGCTTTATCCCAACTTCAACAAACAAGGCTCACTCAAATTGACTGGGGTCTACGAGGGATCAGACTTGTTTGGCAATCAAGGTACAAGGTCGATTCCATTGAGCCACGCTAGTGGTGCATACCTAAACCCAATTTTAGGTTCAGGTCCGGATTCAAGTTCAGAGGTTTAGGTTCAGGTCCAGACTTGTAAGTCCGGACCTAAACCCATGGCATATACAATATTGCATGTGGGCAACCCTGCAATGTTGTCTGGGTGAAACTTTGGCCACATAACATGGAGGGCGGTACTTGAGGATGCCCGATGGCAATGTTTTCTTCATTTCGCAGCAAAAATTTTGCAATCTACAGAAGGTTTTAGGTGGTTTGGAAAGAAAAGGGGTATGTGAAATGGTCTTTTATGGTAATAAGTCCGGACTCGGTTCTTGACTTTTAGGTTTTTTTGGACTTGAACCTAAACACCTAAACAAGTCCAGATCCAAGTCCAGTGAACCGGTATGCAGCACTACAGATGGGTAGATGTTAACTCATATCATGTCTTGGGGACTATTCTGTTCAAAATGAACATACAACAGACCTGAAGAGTTTTAAAAATGTTAGAGAAATGAAGATGCATTTTGTAAACAACTGAAGGAGAGGAGGGGTGTTGGATAAAAAGAACAAAATAGAGAGAATCTGAGATAGCAACTTGCTTAGACGCTAATACACCTGCTTTGCACACCCTTCCACTTGAATACATTTTGTTACTGTCTATTGTAGATTATTGATTGATACAAAGTATACAGTTTCTGAACAGTTTTTAGTGTGATCCATCCTAAATTGGTGCAGGTAAAATTTGTCTGGTGCAGGTGAATTTCAATGCACCACAGAAGGTATGTTGCAAAAAGTATTTTGAGCCCTTTATAGAAAGTTTATTGCAAATTCATGCCCGGGGGCTAATTGCAAGAACATGATAACAACAGTAAACAGTAAAATGATAATAAGTAATGCTAATGCTACTTTATATATAATATAAATACATTTGTAGTTATTTTTGAATTGATGTTGCCATCATTAAAAGATTATGAAAACACTAGAAGTACATAATCAGCAAATCACTCAGCATGGTAGCCCGAGATACGTGTTGTATATGTGTCTAAATTAACTACTCATGTCCGATCAGGTTGATTTGAGAGTCCCCACAAACAGATCTGCAAGAGTCATGCATATCCCTACAGAGCTACAGAGGTGGACAACCTTCCCCGCTCTCATTGTGTGGTGGCATTTCGGCTATACTTGGCAGCCAAAAATAGGCCGCCGCAGACCTGGGCAGAATACAAAGTAGTCAACTAGCATTCAGGTCCGAGCGCCAAGCTCTCCTATCCCGGCACGCAAATTACCCAGCTGCAAGGTTGGGGAGGATAGAATCGCGGCAAGAATGGTGGTTTATTTCCTGCAATAAACTGTCAAAAAGATTTGCTCTCTCTGTGAAGGATGTATGTAGCATTGTGTTGTAAAAAAAACAGAAGAAAGGAATTTCACAGTGATCTCGAACCAGTTTTAGCTCACCAAAGAGCTCATCTCCCACTGGTCTTGACAGAGAAGACAGACACTATGTACAGTATTTATAGGTTCATTATGTATTGGGGAAATTTTATACTCTTTTCAACAAGCACAATTGATCAGGGGACCACAAGTTAACGTCCTGTCCTAAGGGCTGTGACCCTTTCCAGTAGCGTGCATGTCCGGGTAGCGACAACAGCCGGGATTCGAACTCTGAACCTCTTGGCTAAGAGGCATGGTCGCTAACTACTGGACAACACACACCACCATCAGTGGTTACAAACTGGAAGGGCTGATTTCATAGCCTGGGTGCCATCCGAATTTGTAACGGCTCCCCCGAAAAAGATTTTTTCGGGGGAGCCATTACAAATTCGGATGGCACCCAGGCTACTGATTTCATTTGTATCCTAGAAACAGATGGAAGAATGGGAATAATTAATTTGACAACTGTCTAACCTCTTGACTGATAGTCATATCAATGGAGAACTACAGTATGTGGTCATAATAATACAATAGCCTTATCTCATTAGAATCAGCTTCCATTCCACAACATGCTATCTTTTATTTATTAGCACGTGGCCAATTTGGAAGAAGATATGGTTTTTAGTGCTGTCCACATGATTGAAGGAAGATACGGGTATATCTCCTTACTTTATTTCATGCAAAATACCTGTAGTGTCTCAAAGTCTCAATAGATGTGTTACAATGTTGTTGTTTTCAGAATACAACATTGATGAAAGTGTTACTTACAGACGAAGAAAAAAACA